CAATGCATGACCAACAACATTATTTGCAAAGCAACAGTCACAACGAACAACACGAACGACACTAAACACTACATTGGTATGACAGCGACTACATTTAAGGAACGTTACGCTAACCACACTTCATCTTTTCGTCATAAAAAAAGACTCAAACAAAACGGAACTTTCGAAACATATTTGGAAATTAAAAGAAAACAATCAGGATTATACCATCAAATGGTCAATTTTAAAACACGCTATTTCATACACAGGGGGATCAAAACGCTGCAATTTATGTTTGGAAGAAAAATTTTGCATTTTGAAAGACATAAACAAAGACAATTTACTCAATAAAAGAAGCGAAATTTTCGGCAAATGTCGTCACAAAAACCGGTTTCGAGTAAACAAGGTCGTTAACAAAACCTAATGACCCAAGCATGCATTGTTTCACCTAAGCATTGTTTCGCCTACACGCATTCCGCACATTCGTTCGATAGCATTAAAGCAACCTACAATTTCGAAATTATTCACCACCTGATGATTCCTATACGGATGAAACAGACTGTTGTGGTTTTCTGAGGTAAACCGAAAAACTATATATATATATATATATATATATATATATATATATATATATATATATATATATATATATATATATATATATATATATATATATATAGTTATTATATATATATAATATATATATATATATATATATATATATATATATGACGACAAAGTAGGATGCGGATGTGGGACACACAAAATATTATAAAAGTGACAAAGTAAGTCATATCTCGAATACGCATGCGTACTACATGTCGTAGTTTGAAAGCAGCGTAAAGAGCCATGAATGGACTATGACAGTGTGTCCTGCTCACATTAGCAACTGTGGACAGCTGTTTCGCCCTTTTGGGGCTCGTCAGCACAGTGTAGCTAATGGACAAGCTGCACATCCAGATATTTATATGACGACAAAGTAGGATGCGGATGTGGGACACACAAATATATATATATATATATATATATATATATATATATATATATATATATATATATATATATATATATATATATATATATATATATATATATATATATGTATATATATATATATATATATATTTAATAGATTTGAAGATTTGTAATCCAGGCATTTTATTAAATTATAATTTTTACAAAATTATACAGTGTTCTCCGGATTGTAATTATTTGTTTTGAGCTTTCGACTCGGTACTTCGAGCCTTCATCAGAAAGATTGATCATTTGAATTTTCGCGCTGTTGTTGACGTTGTTGAAGTCTGTGGGAACGTCTGATTGGTTGATGGATTTCAGTATGTTGGTTGCCATTAGTTACTAGCGAATGCGGGCGATTAGCGTTATCATGAGACGGTGTAGGGCAGGAAGTTGAGGGTGGGTTAAAGGTTAATGAAGATGAATTAGAAGATTTGTGAGAGCGTTTCAGTTGTAAGTAAATTGTAGGGATGTCAATGTGACGGTTAAATGTTTGTTTGTCTAAACTATGTCACGCTTCTTTAAACTCACGGGCATGTTTAGTAGTTGCTTGTCCTAGGCATCTCGTTTGAGACCAGTCGAATTTGTGTCCGTTGTCGTCTGTGTGTTTAGCTGGAAGTGAGCTATGGTCGTGTCTGTTGATTGCGTTCTGGTGTTCTGTTAGTCTTGTCTGAATCTTTTTAGAAGCCGTTTGTCCAATGTACTTATCCGGACAGTTTTTGCACGGGAAGATATAAATGGCGTTATGTTTATCCGTTATATGTGTCTTGTCTTTGTGTTTAGTGAAGTTGGACCTAAGTTTGCATGTTGGTTTGTGTGCAACGTCAATGTTGAAAGGTTGGAGGAGTCTAGCTGCCATTTCTGATGTAGTGTGTATGTAAGGAAGTGTAATCCTCGTTTTTGTTTGGTTAAGTCGGTCCGTGTTAGTTTGTTGTTTATGTTGTAGCACCTTATTAATGAAGTCTAAAGGGTAGTCATTTTTGTAAAAAGTAGAGTATAAATACTTCTTGTTCGTCTTGTTTGGATTGATCAGTGTGACAATGTGTGTCAATTCTGTTGAATAGAGTCTTTATGCAACTGACTTTGTGTTGTGTTGGGTGATTGCTATTGTAATTTAAAATTTGATCAGTGTGTGTTTTCTTACGATAAACTTGTGTGGTTAAAGTGCCGTTGTCTGTTTTTGTTATTAGGACGTCCAAAAATGCGAGTTTGTTGTCATTTTCTTCCTCTTTGGTAAATTTGATGTTCTTAGTGGTGTTGTTAATTGTTAGTAGGGTGTCGTCTGTTTTGTCCTTTTTTGACAGTAGCAAGTACATCGTCTACATACCTGTCCCATGTTTTAATGTCGTCATTGTTTGTAACAGCTTTACTTTCCAGATCTTGCATCACTGCCTCAGCAAGGAAACTGGAAAGTGGTGACCCCATAGGAGTGCCGGAGATTTGTCGGTAGTAATTGTTCTGGAAGCAGAATTCAGTTGAAAGGCATAGGTCAAGTAAATCAAGAATGTCTTGTATATTAAGTTCTGTCTTTGTTTGCCACGAAGTATTGTTAGTAAGTAGTTTTTCAGTTATTAGTCGTGCAGTGTCAAGTGGGATGGAAGTGAACAAAGAGACAACATCAAAGGAAATCATGATTTCATCAGGTTCAACGTGGATGTCTTTTACTTTCGACAGAAAGGCGTCAACATTCTTAACAGAGTGTGGTGATGTACTCACCAGAGGTTTGAGGATATCAGCGAGGTATTTTGACAATTTGTAGGTGGGGGATCCAGGTAGCGAAACAATTGGTCGGAGAGGATTATTATCTTTATGAATTTTTGGAAGTCCGTAGAATTTAGCGATT